TTAAATCAAAGTAGCAAAAATATTTAAAACTTACAATTGTGGATTATTGATATTCAGTTGATCTCGAAATGGTGTACTAGATGGTGTATCAGGTTCTGATTGCCCTGGTGTACCTCCAAATATGCATTTAATAAATAAACGGTTATAATTAGATAATGCTTCCTGGGATGTGATACAATAAATGTAAATAATAAAAGTTTAACCAAAAAATATGATAATAGAGAAGTAACAGTGACAAAAACAAAAAAAAATAAGAAAATATAATAAAGAAACCTTGTAAAACAGAAGAAGGTGTGGCTGCAATATTTGAAAGGACAGTATTCGGAGTAGCAACAAAACGATCCTGCGGTAAAGCTGACTGCAAATTCAGATCATGCAGAGGGGTATTTACACCTCCTTTTAACGGTGTTGGAGCATTTTGCAGAGTTAGCAGATTTTCAGCTTCCTAAAACAATAATATATAGTTAGTTAAAATCATTATATAAAAAAGCACGTAAAAATTACAGAAGAAAATGAAGATTGTATATTCTATTAAATTCTGTCAAACTTTGCAGCAAACAAGAATAATAATGCATTCAAAGAAATTGATAAGCTCATATGCTCAGGAAATGCATTTTTGAACTGCAACGGAAATTAAGAGGATAAAGTGATAGCGATTGTAATCTGGAAATATTAGCAATTCGTAAGGCAAGTAAAATAAAATATAAAATAACAAATATTAATAAATTAACCTTTTGCAAAGCATCAGCGTATAGAGACGGCGTACGTGTTGTTCGAGAAGTATTTTCATGTATCGGCATCTGATAGTCGTGCAGAAGTGTACTAAAGGAATTATTCAAGAAATGTGAAATACAGTTTTATAAGGTTACCTTAAAATAAATGACTCACCCAACGGGTGATAAGAAGTTCTCCGTTTTGCGCAGAAAAACTTAAAATTCCGAGCTCCCTATCAGACATTCCTATATTTGCAAACATCCAGAAAGGAATCAAACTAATTCTGCGCAATAAGAACAAACAAAAAAAATTTATTAGTAGCTAGTAAAAACCTTGTTGGATTATTATCGCTGAATTCGCGAATGGTATCTGTTGCTTGTCCAATCTTGACGATTTCTTCCATTTCTTTATCCGATATTTGCGGTGATGGTAAAATAAGTTTTGAACGTTTCTTTTCAACTTTCTGTTCAAAAATTGATTCAGGATTACCCTCGGCCCTATAAAATTATCAGTTTCTGGGGTTTCTCTCCATCCAGCAGTTGGATTTATTCAATGTATTCCATCATTCTTGTTGTGAATATTAAAACTGTAACATTTAAATCAGCCTGCTAAAAGAAGTTCATGGTGTCAGCCTTCATGGTGACAAGAAGTTCTCCGTCTTGAGCAGAAAAACTTAAAATTTCGAGCTCCGTGTATCTATTGATTAAGCAGATAATATATATTGCTAAAGAAAATGGTATGCTAACATATCCCAACTCATTCGAAGTTTTTCTGAAATCATTGTTTTTCTGAAGCTATAATAAAACTTAATCAATATCACTTCAGTGATAATATGCGCAAATCAGATTGCATCTCTGACATGATTACCTTCTCTTTTTTAACTTCTCGCGGTCCTTCTTACGTTCCTCGTTTTCAACATCATCACGTCGAACACCTTCAATTTCAGCTCGAGTTTGTTTTTTGAATGTTGTGTCTTTTTCAAATTTATCCTCCGATGGATCGTAAAATCCTGGTGGCACAGGTTTTTCAAATGGAATCTGGAACAATTCAGAATCTGAGTTCCACAGTTTTTAAAGAAAAAATCATTAAATGATCCTAAGAATACTAAATAAAAAATGTAATGACAGTACCAAGTGCTCCCAGAATAGCGGCACCATTTAGAAATGGTACTAAGATAGTCAGAAACATTAAGGAATTGTGTAAAAGAGTGAATTTTGTGTTTTCGGAGTACAACAGGCCTAACAAAGTCTACAAAGAACGAAAACTCCTATAAAAACAGGGAAATATATTATAGCTTCGAAATGTATGAAACAAATAAGTATGGTATTATGATTATAACGAGAAACAAGATTTCTGGAGGAAACCTCTGCGCTGTAATCAAGATACAAAGGATTTCTACGCTGAAATTTATGTTGTCCCCATGGAATACCAGCAGCACGCAATTCACGTCGTTTCTGAAGCGAAGCAAGACGACGAGCTTCTGAAAGCTGTTTTTCGCGAGCCTTACGTTTTGCCTAAAACGAAACATTACGATTATCAGACTTTAATTATTATCGCTAATTATTAATTTAGCAACTCTGCAGACACAATTCAATCTAGGAATATCATAAATATAGAAAAACACAGGGATTTCTTGTTAACAACAACAATTTAAAACAAATTCACGATTACTAATTACTAACACCTATTACTAAGACATCAAGGTAATGCAAAAACAACTGTTGAAATATTAAAATATTTTAAATGAGGAGCTAACCTTCTTGCCCTGCGTGTTCGCTAATCTTGCACGTGCCTCAGAAAGCATTTCAAGCTCATCTTCATCCATATCAATCGGATCAGGTCTTGCTGGTTTGGTTTCAGGTGTTGGGTCTATCTCACCTGGCCTCAATTTCCTAGCATCATTCAGATCTTCGCTTTCATCCATTTGTTCTGCCTTTTTCTGGGCCTGAAACCAAAGAAATAACTACTTCCCAAGCAATAGCTCAGCTTTCTTCAATCTTAAAAAAATGCCAAACAGGATAGTAATTGCATATGTTTTATTTTTCAACAGTTTCATTTTCCGTTTGATGTTTTATTTTACTGTGCTACTGCTTCAGTAATAATACAGGCTGAAATGGTTCAAGGAATTGTAACAGTTAACGCACCTCATCCAGTAAATGCTCATAACGTTCTAAGCATTGCGCAGCTGTTCGCCCAACTATTGGTGCAATTGTTCGCCACTGCGTCGGCATAAGTTTTGCCAAATGTAACAACTTCTCATCTTCCGTTCGTGACCATTCCGTTTTCTTAATCCCAGGATCCAACCATTCGTACCAACGAGCCTAGAAAAGCAATAAAATAATTATAGAAATGGGAACACCAATTCTCAGGGGAGGAAGTAAATGATGAAGGTAATTAATACGATGAAAGCTGGTATGACCGTCCTCAGAGGTGGCAGCATCCTGTTGCTTTCTCAATACCAATTATGTCAAAGAATTCGAAAATTCTCAAATTTTTTAGATCTAAATTACAAATGCACTAATATTCCTTGGAAATATGAAGTACGCACCTTGCACTGCTTTGCCGATTTCCTATGCAAAAGAGATGCGATACGACTCCATTGGTTCTTTCCATATTTCATAATAGCTGCTTTGAGGATTTCATCCTTAAAAAAAATTGAGGAAAATTGTTCATGAATAAGCAACCAAGCAGTTATTTGTGACATTCATTAGTTTTTAGATTGCTGACTTTACTTATCATTTATTTAAATGAATATTATCATTAAAATAATGTGTCACTGCAAATATTGCAAAAAAATTCGACTAAATAAGTCCAAGCAAATCTTAAATGTATGATGCTCTTTTAAGGAATTAATATTTATATAATCTCACTTATATATTTGATCATCAAGTAAGAAAGAACAAAATATACCTCGGTATTCCTCCACACACCACCTTTAATGATAACGCGCACCATCTTCTTTTCTTTTTTAACTTAACAGCAATTTCCAATCTGTAAATAAATCATATCTAATTAATTTGCACATATTGACGTAAAGTACATATATATCGGCGGTACCACAATTTAAAAAAAGAATTATTAAATTACCGCAAATCATATACTATAATTACAAACGACTGTCAACATGAGATTTCGTGTAACATTTCGTGTCCGCACAATCATTAGAAGACTAGGATAATCACAGATTAAAAAGACTAAATATAATCACAGGATATCGCGGGTTAAAAAAGTAAAATTACATTAGTCGGGGACTACCGCATAATCTATGCAACAACTCACGTGAATGGTAAACCACGACTAAACGCGCTAACATTTAACCAACCGCCTAGATTATTAAAATTAAATCCATTCTGAAAATTTCCGTTCCCACTCTATGGATTTGTTCGAAAATGCAGTCCGACTAAATTATGGAATGGCTGGAATCGGCTGAATCGATATATTATGCCGCAATTTGCTGCAGCTATTACTTCCCGTGTGCTTTCCTGAAATGATTTCCCTCCACAATAGAAAAAGTTATGTATGACTTATTAAATTACAAATACTGGACGACTTAATCATCAATTTTATCGAAGTTACTAACATTGATTAAGACAAACAGCTTTTTTCATCATATAGTATTAAATTTTAAGGACTGTTTATAACATTAACAGCAAAATATGTAGAACTCGACAAACGATTCATTAATAGTTGAATTATTTCTTCTCTATAGGTAAAGAAAATGAGTACTCTTTTTGAATTTAAAGCGATGTGTTTCCCATTACAGGATAGCAATTTGTTTTATGCATGGGAATCCAATATCCTTTCATGAAGATATATCATAATAATGAGCAATCACAAGGCATTTTATTTGAATTTTATCGTGGAAATTTTCAGCATATAAATTATTTCATGACTCATAAACCTTTTGACTTCAATGGAAGCTTTTATCTAAAGTGTGAATGACAAAAGAAGCAATAAAGCCACCACAATGCAACAAATACTACGGAAACAAGGAAGAAAAAAACAAGAAAGAAAAAAGTGAGAACGATTGAACGGAATGATTAAAGAGTCACAATAGTGAGCACTAAATATATTGAGCGAATATTGAAAGTGCCTGAAAGCAGATCAAAATATACTGAAATATAAAACAACATCGAAATATAAAAGTTCACTCTCAAATTTGACAAAATTCCAAATTATGCTAGATCGAAAGCATTTTATGAAAAATTCAACAGATTATTAAAAGATAAGATTTTCTTATTAAAAAATAAAACAAGATTTTCTTATTTTTTAATAAGAAAATCTTGTTAGCTGAATGCCTGGATAATCGGTGAAAGACGGAACCAAGCTGTATCAGATTTATTGACTGCGACAACATCCTGGACGCAAAGGTGTTTTAGAACAAATCTCACTGAATAAATCTTTCGTCGTGCTAACACTTCATCTTCCGGTAACTCAAAACCATCGCTATAACAATAACCTTCAGTTAGCTTGTGAAATAGCTTTAACTGCTTTCTTTGATATTCAAAGAAGCTAACATGACAACATTTCTACTTACTCATTTTGAACAAGTTCTTCCGGAAATTTAAGAGCAGAAGTCCCACGCACCAAAATGCAAACACGTGTATTTCGAGTAATATTTCGCGTAGTACTCAAATTTGAACTTACTATCAGTGATGATGATATCCTACGCTGTTCACTAAAAATTACTGCCATTAGAAGTTCAGATTGAAACAATTTTAACATGAAGAAATAATTAGGAAGTTAGAATTTCGAGCAAACAAGTCGGAGAATTTGTTTTCATTTCTGCTGAAGATTTATTAAATCTTACTTAACCAATTCGCTATATCACAATGCAAGTGAAACTAACCTAGGAAATAATTCAGCACAATTTTCACCACAGTGTGAAGGATCTGATTCAGATGAATCACACACTTTAATGGGTATTTGATAAATTTCTTGTGGTAATGCACATGATGCACCAATAATTATAACGACTTCATGAAGTGCACGACGATTACAGCTGCAGAATAACTCTTTCAATGCCTCTCTAATCTGTCAAAATTAATATAATTTTACTTTTGATTAGATAAAAATATAATAATTTCAAATGAAACTACATAAATCTCACATGAAATAACATCAACTTCTCCCTAAATTTGAGAGAGGCTTCAGCTTGATTTACTCATGTTTAATCTTATCTCATATATGTTAGACTTATCGTAAGTTCCTCTTTAATTCACGCTAAAGTTAGAGATTTGGTAGGCTTCCATTCTAATTTAGTTTTATATTTGGCCCTCCTTGATTTCTAATACATCTCATATTGATCCATTTTTACTAAAATCACTCCTATCTTAGGTATTATACAAAATTTTCTTTAATTTAGATTCTTGACGTTCCCTAGTGAGTACCGTAATCATTGCTGTTTGAAAAAATAAAAACCCAAAGATAAAAAAACATCATAAAGTGCTTTTTTAAGCAATAGACTTTAGTCTAACTTTTAATAAATATTCCGTTTTTTTGCTCAAAGAGAAGCGTGAAACATGAATTCACTAAGTTAAAATATCAAAACTAAATTTTTGAATCTTCAGTTAAATATGTCAGCTTAAAACAAAAACAGAAAAGTTGCAACACTTTCTGTAAAATTCCTTCTTTCAAACATGTAAAACAACAGACCTTCCCATATGTTTCAACAAATTTAATTTCATTGCGTGATTCAATGGTTGAAAGTAGTTGAGTTACAACAGTTGGTATGATACCACGTTGATACAATAAAAACTGTAAAACAGTATCAACAGCCTGCAATTGAGCATGAATACACAGACATCGGCCTGCTTCTATTCGTTCAACAATCATTACAGCTTCCAGCAAATAAGGCTTCCTGAAATACAAAATGTAAAATTGAAAACTAAAAGAAAATGAAATATAAATTGAGAAGTGTACAAAGTTGAAAACTAAACATCTGCTCTATTACCATATTAATTTCACCACTAAATTCAACATCTGTTATATTTCTATAGGATATTTGATCATCACAAAAATGATTTGATGTCGATACTACTTAAATATTGCTTCCAGTTCCTTTTTTTCAGTTTGAACCTTGTGAGATATTTGATATAAAGCAACAATATGGTAATACTGTATAATATTACTATATTAGAAAAGCTTCATGAATATATAAAGGATGCTTCCAATTTAAGCAAAACTCAAATTTTTTGATCGCATTGTTGCAACAAACTCTGGAAGTTTAATGTTAAACAAGCATTTCACGTTATTTTAACCAAAACTGAATTTAATCATTAAAACAGTAGAATGTGAAAGACGTAAGACACGTATCCTAGTTGATATAATACATGTAACTAAAGTCCTGTGAGTTTTATCTCCTTAAAAAATTTTGAATGTTTTCTCGAATTGAAAGACCACATCGGAGAATTCAGCTACTAAGTTTGATCCGACAATTTGATAGAATGATGCTTTTTCTTACAATTTCTTTATCCCTTTCTCCATGAAATTTAAATTAAGCAGTAATAGAATAAAAAATGATAAGGTCAAATTAATGATGCAATTCAAATATCGAAACTGTCTGGAAGACAAAAAAGGGAGAAAGAACGAAAAGATGCAAGAGAAATAATGTTTTATCAACAATTCATTGAGATCAAACTACCAATCAGTTAATAAAATAATCAGTTAATCGATAAAAACACTACATAAACAATATCATAATCACTTCGATTTGAGCTCTGCAATAAACCGTTCATATTCGGCTAGCTTTTCTGCATCTCTTCGACGCCTTCTTCGTTGTTGTTTATCAGCTGTTCTTGAATGTTCCGTTTTGCGATCCCTCATTTTGGCACTATCGCTCTTCATTTTAATTGTCTAGAAGGATAAAACAAAGAATAGAACTTATTTAGAGACAAAATAACATGTTACTATGTTGAAAATGTTGCTTCCGAAAAACTACATCATTAGGATATGTGGGTGCAGCAAAACTTCTGTCAAATGTCAAGAGCACCGATTACTTACTACAGAATTCCGACCCAATCTCCATGAAAATAGCCGTTTAGAAATCACATCAGAATTTTCATGAAACCATAAGTTTATGTGATGCAACCACTACCAAAATTTAGTTTTTGGCGTAGTAACATTCAGTTTTTCTGCTGGGAGTCAAAATCCAGGAAGATTTACCTCAACCGATGGACTTCGTTCCAGATTTCTTAAACCATTTAATGCGCGTTCATCATCTTTTATGGTCAAACTTTTCTCGTACTTCGCCTTTGCTTCATCTTTTTTACCAGCTTCTTCTAATCTGAAGTACAAAAAAAGGAAAAAAAAGAAAAACTAATTCAATCGCTGATAATCTGAAAAAAATACTAAAATGCTCTTCAATACAAATTATAAACCACCAAGTCTACAATTAGGTTGCTAATTATCTATTCCAAAACCAAAAGATAACTTTATCCATAAATGACGCAGGACCAAGAATGATGTACTAGCATTAATCTCATTTTCTACATTACTTTAATATCATAAAACAGATGCATTTAATTTTTTTTTATTCTCTCCATCATTTATTGCAGTTTTATTTCCACTTCTATCCTTTTCAAAATTTTTTACTCTTTAAAAGTCGATTTCTAGACCAGTAAACGGTAATAATGCATTATCTAATACCTTTTAGCTTCTTGTAATAGTGTTTCGATCATATAATTTCTTGCATTCGTATGCGATGCATTCATAGTCAAAGCTGCATCTAAGTCTGTTTCTGCCAAATTATACTGTCCCATATTGGCATATCTAAACTACATGAAACCAATTTCAATTATCAATTACAAATTATAAAAACGAAATTTTATATTAAATGAACAAAATTTGAAATTTTCGATTCTTACGGACAGAGGAATTCCTACTTTCACAACTACTTCTGGAAATGAAAACTAGAAATACTTAGAATAAACAACGACATACGCAGCTGCTCTGCCAACTAGTGCTTCAATATTTTTTTCACAAATGGTAAGTGCTTTGTTGAAATGTTGCACAGCAACAGCATTTTCGCCTTCTCGAATCTTATCAACACCCTTTTTGGCAATACTCATTGAAAGATCTTCATTTTGCTTACGACGGATGTAAGAAGCACGATGCCTTGACGAAAAATCCGTATCTGAAGTTTATATCTGAACATTATGCACTTCCATTACTTTTTTTTGTTTTTTGTTTTTTCATATTTTCCAAAAATTTCATCTGTGGAAAGAATCCTAACAGCTAAAGTAACTTCTTTACAATTTGATGTGCTCTTTTCAATCATAAGTTAACTGAAACTATATATTGAACTAAGTATATTTATTTATTTAACTGCTTATTTATTAAAAAAACCTTTTAATTCATGCAAAAACGAAATGGCTAAGTCGGTCTCTACACCAAACAGTGTTGCGAGATTAGGATTAGTGGCTGGAGAATAGTCTTTGAAATATTCGTCGAAAGTTTTGGTTCCAATTTCTTCACCATTCCTTTAAATACCGATTTTTGGTTTGAATTTAAAACTTTCGAATCTTATCCAGATCATTTCAGTTTCCAAAGTTGAAAGCATAACAAAAATAATTCGTCAGAATTAACTGGTGATCCTTTCTGTTTATAGAAAATATCGATACACTACATTAATGAAGATCGAATCAACCTATCTAAACGAACTTTTAACCATCTAATAATATTCCTGAAGTTTCAACGAAAATTTCCGTTATATTCCAATATCATTTAAGTACTGCCACTAACATTTCAATAGATCGTCTAAGTTTTGTAGAATCAAACAAAATTCTAAAACATGGAATTCAGCTAACCTGAAGTAGGTCGGCAATTCAGCTTCTGTCAGAAGACCCTCAATTGAAAAGAAAAATCAATAAACTGAAGGTATATAAATATAGCAAATCCATATTTAAATTATTACTGAGAAACATTTCAATTCCAACTATGTCCGTTTGTAATATATGCATATATAATGAAGAAATGGAAAAACTGGCAAAAAAAATACCGCATCTTCTTCTACAGCAAAAACTGGAATTTTCGTTTCTTCATCAACGCCAACTACCAAAACTGCAAAACAATGCAATTAAACTAACAATCTAATAGCAATAGGAATTAAAACGAACCTTTGATCAAATCGTTCGGTCGGTAATCATGTCCATTTTGTAGATTTCGCTCCAGTAAAACCTACAATGAACCGAAAAAACCATTATGAACTTTTGATAAAAATTAAAAAACCTAGCGTTAAATCATCAGGAAGGATCAGGAACTAACGTACTTTTCTAAGGATAATATTAATAATAACCAACAAAGGTTCCGTTTCTGTTAATGATTGAAACTATTATAGTGCCCTGGAATAGCCTAAGTTCCAATATAAAATAAACCTTAGTATATCAAATTTTGTCACTTATTCAAAGATAATTAGCATCAAACATGGAGTGGACAATAAATTCATTTGATCCAGGCAAATCACGGAGCAGTACGCACTATGCTATCCATTAGTAAACAATGGCAAATAATAATTAAAATAAAAAGTTTGTCATGAAACTTACTTGAAAATCATTAATCCATTTTAAACTTCGTCGAAATGAATATAATGTACAAATAGGCTCAGCATAGATACCAGCAAGCTCGACACGCCGGATTCGGAAGCACAATGCATCACCAATCTAAAATCCAAAAATATGTTTGAAAATGCCGCCGACAAAACTATTTAGATGAATTAATCAAATATTGCCAATATATTAACAGCATATTGTATACATCGGTTTCAATTCATGCCCAAGAAATTTTTTAGAGTATAGTTATTGAGAATTGAAGTGAGAGAGAAATTAAGTCCCCTATAAAATATGTTTCAAATAAAGATTATAAAAATGATTATTTACTCTTCTATTACTCCAAAAACTTCCTAAAAATAAAATAAAATTAATGAATACCACGTACTATTACTTATTAATAAACAATTTAGGCGGTAAGCTGTAAAATTAAACCATTTCATATAATACTCACCCGCAAATCACTGTACAATTTCTTCTTCGCATCCAAACTATTAATCTCCATTGCAAAACATTCAAAAACCGGAAAAGCATCATATCTGGCACTTAATATTGTTGAATCTTTATTTGGAAGCCCCTCCACACCTCCGGGTAAAAAATTCCCACACTTTACATCCAAATCATCCTCCTTGGAGTGAACGCTGAATCCATTTGTGTGATCGTTTGCTCGACTGCGATAATTACTTGACAAGCGATGTCGATGTCGCCTATTACTTGCACTTGATGGTGGTGACATCAAGATCAATATATTAATAAAAATCTGAAAAATGATCATTTTAAGCTTCAGTCTAGTAAAATTGGACTAATCATAGACGTGTGATCGAAGAAAACAAGAATGTATCGGATAGACTGTAAATGGATATAAAACTCTAACACTTTACATTTAAATCATTAGTGATAAGATCCATTTCAGTATATCCCCGTGACGTTATTGGAAAATATGGACAATACTGATACAATTATGAACCTCGTTCTCGGCAAAATCAACAGTATACATTTATTAAAATCCGAATAAACTTTTATTCTTGAATTTCTAGCTATAGTTTGACTAGTAAAGAGAACGGAAATTTAATTGAGTGAAAGTAATGTGACAATCAAAAAATGTTTAGTTATTGATAATATGACGAATATCCCATTCGTCCAATAAGCCGACTAGTCGACTATCCGACTACGTAATTTTCTTTATTTCCACTACAAAAAGTATTAACGTCGAGAAAATATTTTTCGACTACATTTACATTTTCTTGAGGAAATTAGAGTTAGTGCAATGTCTTAAGCTTCTGGCTATTCTAAAATTAAAAAGTTAATAATCACTTAAGATTGGGCCAAACACACATTTAAGATTCATCTGACTAGATAATTCTCCACATCATCAACTCTTGAATTTGACTTTAATATCTCAGTTTGCTGTCTGACGCTCCTTCTTCTTATGTATCATTTGTGAGATATTAGCAAAAACAAAAAACTCCACAAAAATTCTAGACAAATTGGAAAAAATAACTTTTCCAATCTATCTAGAATATTGAAACTTGAATGCAAAAATGAAAGTATGATTAATTTCGAACTAAGTAAATAATACTAGTGGAAATAAATAAAGCAGGAGAAAGCAATAAACAGTAAATTAGGAGAAAGCAATAAAGCTCTTATGTATCACGATGATTATTTTCGCTTATACTGATGTTTTTATTGAAATATATGCTTATACAAAAAAATAAAAATTGAAAAGAGGTGAATCAATATGTGACAACACTGCAATTGATCAATAAGTGAATAAATAAACTTATAAAGAGAAAAACTTGAGTGCATTAGCAAATGAGTGAATTTATACATGAATAACAATCTAGTAGATAAGATGACCTGAAAATTGACCTGAAAATTGTATTGCATCGAAAAAGAAAATGGCACGAAAAATAAAAAAAGCAATTACTGTATCCGGATATAACATAATACAAAAAAAATAATTCATAAAGAGAATCAAAAGCAATCAACAGATACAACAAGATAAATAAAAATAATTAATGGACTAGATGATTTAAAAAAGACGGAGTACTCGAAATTTCAAATATGTTTACGAACTGTTTGTTCATTTTACGTGGAATTATTTCACGTAATTGTGATCAAATGATAGAACAGTATTCAAGTCGATAAATACAGAGCAAGAAACTTAACCTAACAAATACAAATTTCGTCAGTTTAACGATATTTCGTATCAAACATTACTGTCGGAAATCTAAAGATTTGTGAATGATATTGCATATACAATCCTGAGCCATAGAGGATACCGAAAAAAGAAAAATCAAAGTTGCAAATATATGAAAGAACACGAAAATTTTAAATATTATTGAAATATAAATTTAAATATTAAATTTTTAAATATTATTAAAATAATGAAATTATTAATATATATCAAATTTCAAAGAAAGTGAAACTATTAAATAAAATTATTCATATATCCAAAAAGTGAAATGAAACACAAGATGAAACAATCACAAAAATCCAGTAGTACACAGTACGCAATGCTCATTCGCAAAAGGAGAATTGCATAAAAATAAATGGCAGGAGAATTTTCTTTGCATGAAAAGCCATGTCTGTCCATGTTTCACGGATAGCTCTTCACGCAAAAAAAGTTCTCGTGCTATTACATTATCACCTTCACAATTTATGAAAGAACTTTTACTAATATTAAATAAACAAAATATTTTTAAAATACTATCGGAACCATTGAAACTATAGTAGTAAATATTATTAAAATAATGAAATCATAAAATATATCGAATTTCAGGGAAAGTAAAACTATTAAATAAAATCATTCATATATTCAAAAAGTGAAATGAAAGACAAGATGAAGCAATAACAATCCAACAGTACACTGTACGCAATGCTCATTCTCAAAAGAAGAGAATTGTATATATATATATTCGAAGCTATTTTTTCTGTACATCGTTTTCATATATTTCACGACAACCTTCAATGTGAAAGATTGACAGAGCATTGAACAAGAGGTAGCTGCCGTAGATTGTTTTCTCTTTTGCTGTCCAGTTTTTTGCAGGACCATAGTAATGACCTCTTTTGACATTCGTCAAATTTCGAAGACCTGGTGATTTCAATTTATGATGGAATCACAAAATTACTTACGCTTAAGTTTTTTAGATCAAACAACATAACCCCTAGCTAAAGTAAAAAACATACTTTTCAATTTTTCATTTAGTGGCAAAGAAATTCATTTTGGAGATGCCTGCTATAATTTTCTGAAGAATGATATAGCTAAAGAGCATTCTGACTTATTCTTTTTCAATCGAGATGCATTTCATGAGAATGCAAAGGTTTTTTTCACTTGACGAGACAGTATGATATATCTATTAGAATCTATTAGAAGAAAAAATACTCATTCATCAGTGAAATATTCAATAAATTTGTATGGATCACCTATTTCAAGCAACTATTTCACATCGAAAGATGTGAGCATGCGTTGCAAAATTTATGAACAAATTTACCGATAGCATCAATCATCGCTGCCTCTCTTGTAAATGCTTCCTTGGGAATTATATTTTGGAAAACGTGCAATGACACAACACCACGGCCAGCATTCCAAAGATCCACAATTTTTTGCAGTTTTTTACTTTTCTGAAATAAACAATTTTCTGCAGTCTCCTATTTTGCAATTCAAAAAACCAAAATTATTGGACAGCAACAAAATTTTTGAGACTAGCTTGGTGATTACGTAAATCCAATTAAGTAACTATAAAAATTAGCCAAATATTTTGCAGCAGCGCTTCAGCCAATATTACCAGTATTACAATATTACTACATTTAGAATATTGAATAGGCATCTATCTAACAATTGAATCCTGAAACGATTTCGTTCCAATTTTTTGCTCAGAAAGTAAACTGCTTATGACATATACTATGACATAGTTATGATACACAGTAAAAATTTCAAATTATTTTTTTTACCGATAGAACACCATTGCCAAAACCTTTGGCTCGGACAGCATCCACCAAATGTTGAAAAGGACGGGAACGTTTCCCTTTACCAATATAAAATATAGAGTCAATAAACTGTTGCATTGTACAGCTATTGCAAGAAGGCCTAATACCACAAGGATCTGAAGAGTAGAATATAATCCGATAGCAGAAGAATCTGAATAATACAATATAATTTCAGATCTTATGGAAATCAAAGTGGTGATAATTCTATTAAAAAAATGGCTTCTTAAAAGTGTAGAACGTACTAATTTTAACCAATTTTATGTGTGAATTTTAGAAGAAATGCAGTAATACAGCCGGTTAAACGTGATCCACAAGTTGGAACAATTTCAAATCAACAAACTTCCTTCCCTTAAAACTCACCAATCAAAATATAACAAAATGAAGTAGATTTATTGCCTCTTCTGTCCTGTTCACGGGAAAGCTCAACAAAACTACTTATGAGAATTTGGTCAAGCTTCGGACCTTCAGAAAATGAGTTGCCGGTTATCCAACGTTCAAGTGCCCAGCTGTACTCTGTAAAAGAGCGATTGCAGGAATTCTTAGAATTAAAGAATTTGAAATAAAATCAAGGCCATTTTTAGAAACAAACTTATAAATATCCAATACAAACACTTACTTAATTCCGAAGTGCTAGAAGGTAAATTTGCAATCAAACGTGCCAGTTTTAATTCATACGCCGGACGCGTAGTTTCAAGAATTGGTCCGATAGATTCGCCCCTGAAATCGCTTAATTCTTCATAGTTCTTCTTAAAATGATCACAGTATAATTTAATATTAAAATCGATGAGGATAAATCTCGGAAAAAAAATCATAAAATTAAAGATTCTGAAAATCAGTTTCATGTTAAAATTCATTAATTTCTTGATTTTCAGTTGCAGTTTGACTCAGATACCATACCGAATGAAGGAGTAAATCTTCTCTTGTTCTTGAACAAGATCAGAGCGATGACATATTTATGCTATTGAACTCCAGTCCTTGAAGAGAGGACGCTATAGAAATGCTCGAAAGGAAAGTGATATTGAATACAAAGTATCATTAACTCAATGAAATAAAGTGTTCGACAAATAAAAATTTAGTGTTAATTGCTTGCCTTTTGGATAGTTCCTGTTTCAACTGTTCATCGGACATTTGACGAACTACTGTCAAAATTTCTGCTGGTATTTTTATACTTGAAGCTGGAACGAGAATTCTAACTATATTGACAAAATAGTTTGCAAACTCCATCATAAAGTAAGCAAAGATTATTTTAAAATAATTTCGAAATATCGCTTAAATCTGAAATTATTCCTTCTAGAACATTAGTTAGATTCACTTTGAAAATTTCCAGACATAATATGGAATGTAATTTAAAAGAAAAAATTCAGAGGAAAAAATGTACTACTAGTGGAAGATTCTTCGGTCATCCCATCCTTAGTCTGAGGTGATGTTGAACCAAGTTTCAATGAATCGAATTCTTCGGTTAAAATATAAGATGGAGCATTATTTGAATTTCGAATACAAGGCAAGCAGTGATTGTTACTAGTGTTGTATTCAGGAGCTGTAGCGTACATCGTATTATCATCGCTTTCATGTTTTGGCGGTTTCACAGTGGACGAAGCGAACTGTTGCGATGAGACCATGAGACCAGATGTTTGCTTGGATGATTTTTCTCCTTCAAAACAAAATCAACACATCATTTCACACTATACTGACCTATACTTAGCCAATATAGTATTCTCGAAAAATTACTTGAACTTTTAAACGTTTTGCAGCATTTAGTCGAAGAACACTTCCAATCAACTGATGGTATTAAATGCAACAAAAATGTTTCCTAAAGCAGCTAAAGTTGAAAAAAATAAAAATAGTTTAATAATATACCAATTACCCTAAATAAGCTAATCTTGTCTAGTGGTTCTTTAAAGCAACCGACAATTAAAAAAATAGAGTCATGTTATATTCAATATTCCAAATGAAAAGCCTCTGATTTCAAATGAAAAGCCTCTTTTATGACCCCTCATTTCGAATTTCCGGGAGCTATAATGAAGCAGATTTAGCTAAACCATAAATGTTACCTTGTTTAAACCAATGAAGAAATTTATATGGGAAAAATCGACGTGGATATTTACTGACAATATAGATCCATTATGTTTTTTTGAAAGAAAAATTGCTATTTTTCAATCTTAGTTGTTATGCAGTTCAAAAGTTTACACTAAAAAAAGCGATGAAAAGGTTAGAAATTTAAAAACCTTACAACTCAACACCATCAGTGAAAGATATTTCGCACAACAAACATATTTCTTTCTGTTTCAATGCGATCAAGCATGTCTTACCGATTGGAGAAAACTTTTTTTTTCCATCTTCATGACCAGGGAAACATGTTTGGTTTTTCCGAAAAGCCCACCGTAACCGTTTTTCTTCCTCTGACAGGAAATTGTCCGTTCCATCATAAGAAGGTGACCAAGAACGTGATCTACTTAACTTCAGAGGTGTTTTGGTAGCCTTCTTCCTTGAACACGAAAACAGCTGATTTAGAGCGCGCAAAAATGTTTGTTGCAGAGAGTGACTTATTGTAGAAGTTTCGGTTTCGTAGAGACGCTCAAAAAATTTCTTCACTGAACCTTTTGCCATATCTTTCGCTGTTCTATAATAATGCAAGAATAAAACTATATATTCACAAATAATTCGTAAAACTAAAAATTAAGGTAAAAAATTTCTTGAACAAAAAGCAATATTTCCTCGGTTTTCATGAAGAGTTTAAAAAAGCTTCTTTTAAACTGTTACTTTTTTCTTGAAAACAAAAAACTTCAAAAATTAAATATCTTGTTTCTATGCAATCATCCTTTAACGACAAGCATAATGTATGAGAATTACGTATGGAAGGTTACAGTTGTATGAGAGTTTTCAAAAATGGAAAATTTTCTGGTCAACAACCGCATGCTGCATTAAAAAATGAATGAATGCACAGTAACAACAAAAACCGCAAGATATTTTGTTGAATTCTAAAAAACTCAAATTCGATTTTAAAAACAGAGAAAAAACCTACAAGTACCACTACCTTTAAAAAACTAGGAGAGAGAATACAAGAAAAGTTATGTCTTCGAATTTTTTTATTTACTACCTTAATTTTATAATAAATTTTGGAATTTCACATGCAACTAAATGTAAGAAAAATCAAAATGAAATCCAATAAAAACATGGATCACCTTCCGTTATCATCTTTTTGAAAAGGGTCAGCACCAAAATGCATCAGTAATTGACACATTGCTAAATTATCCCATGCAGCAGCTACATGTAATGCCGTCAGTCCCTCATCTTCCCGTTCGTGAACATTTTTCTGGCATGTTTTCAGCAAATTCTGTACCGCATCCAAAGCTGTTGGATTATTACTTGCTGCTAGCAGATGAAGTATATTTGCTTTCGACATTAATGCTTGCTGCCTATAAAATTTGGAAAATTTTTTTGTTTCCAAATTTAAGCGTTTAGCAAATTATAGGAGGTTACTGAGATGATAATTTATAAAATAATTTCCCTCCGGATATAAAAAGGAAACTATATTAGAAATTATCACCTTAATACAATCATACGTTAGAACCGTTTACACAATGATGATAATTTATAGACAATAATTTCCCTTTGGATAAAAAAGAAGTTATATTACGAAAAATACATTAAACCGTTTCGATTCAAAAATACTCAAAAATTTCTGGCTGTCGGGAAAACAAGTAATCGGCAAGAATTGTTCATTGTCCGTAATGATAGCAAATTTATTTTAATTCTTCATGATATTTGATAAATATTTCAAAAACCGATGAATAAAGATGTTAGTTTGCAATGAATTTAAATCAAAAATACCATCAAGCGCGAATAATCAATCAGTTGAGGTGTGAAAGTTTGAAACACCTTTAACTGGACCAAATTCATTTGGAAATGGAGTTCAAAGTTCACAGATACTTAATGAAAAGTTCCTCTTACGCAACATGATTTTGCAAGGAACTCTCAAGCAAACGTATTTGAAACCAACTTAGCTGTACCAAATAATATAAACAAATGCCATATGAAATTTCTAAAGGTCCTTGAAGCAAGCTTTGAAAGCCTCTCCATGTGTAGCAGCTCTATAGGTTCGCGCGTGTATCTCAAGCCTATCTGTTGGTAGCGATTAGCTGATCAGATATACGTCAAATCTGTCGTTGCAGTTCTTTTATCTCAGAGTATGATTTTTTTATCTGGAGTACGACCTGTTCTTTTTTCTTCTGCTCTCTATTACCTTGCCTACGATTATATTTAATTCTTAGTTTCTATGTTGACAGCAATCTGGAATTAAACCAATGTCATCCTTGCTCTTTCAATGATGTCATATTCTTTTTAGCTTTTAATGACTACGTAAGTAGTGGCAATCATTTCACATCACATGAGAAATTACTTAACACCACTAGGAAACGTCCACACGAATTCATGAAGTAAATAAACAAATATGCAGCATCCTCTCAGCATAACTTGACATCTATCCAACAGAATTATGACGATCTTCGATCCATGTAACAACTGCTTAGTTTCAATTATTTAGAATCTCAAGCATAACCTGAAGTAATTTGTGCCAACTAGTTACGCATGCTACTTCGCGTTTCATAAAACAATTGTGTTACAACTATTACACATTATCTGAGAATTAGCTAATCTCTGACATCTGCTCTACGTGAAGTATTAAAATGTTGAAATAATTTTATTTTATTTTCAAATGAAAACAGAAAATGATGGATGATATTCTAAAATATTTATGCTCATTTGTATGCGTTGATATTCAAAATAGGAAATTAAAAGGATGAAGACAATTGTAAATTAATTTTATCTAATTTATATTGGCCATGAATTGAGTTAAAAGATTTCCGATATTTCAAAAAAGGTGCTTAAATTAATAAAATAATTCCACGGTTATAATATGAGATAACAATATGTCAAATATAAGATAACAATATGCTAAATATGAGGTAACAATATGTCAAACAATTAGTTTGAAATTGAGTTTATGAATTTTTAGACAGCCCCTAAAATCTTCCTCAAATATCGAAAGTTTTCCAGAAAGAAACCTCCTGATTCATGCCTAAAATGAGGGAATATACATACCTGAATTTTGCACCATATAGTTGATTTTTTTTCCTGATCTTAGCTAAAGCGGAATAAGCATGATTATCCGGAATGATTATGAATTATTATTTAGCTACTATCATCCCACATTTTTTTCTTTTTAATTTATTTGTAGAAGAAAATTGATAAGTGACACCTGGAATATCTATTTCTTCAATTCTGAAATTTCGAATTTTGCCTATATCCTTTTCTTGACTTCTCTATTGTATGATATTTTGTATTATATATTATTCTTGCATTTTCATTCATCTTTTTCTTACATCTTTTGCTTATTCATTTCCTTTTAATCAGTAGAAACTGTATCTATATATATATTATTGAGGTTTAACTGATAAAAATATCAAAATAATAATAGCTATTAAATTCTCAATATATAGGAGTGATGAATATTACACCTACTTCATTATGCACTACGAGTATTACATCTCTGACTAACTTTCACTCTATATTTTGACCCAGAAAATTTTGCACTACTTATGATGCATCGATAATATCATTCCCACCCTGTGGCTGTCGTTAGGTAGAAGTCGTTTTAGCTTAGTGGATCAAGATAATCACACTTCGTGACCTTGTGAAATGATCATTGTGAGAAAGATGGGCTAATGAAGTATATCGCGAAATTCCGGATAGGATTTGTGTTAGGAGACAATTTGCCTTCTAGTGCCGAAGAATGTATCGCAACGCTAGAAATTACTTATTTAGAATGAATAAATCAAAGATCCTATCCTTATACCTGTCATCACCCTATCGAGGTAGTAACTTGTATATTTTTTTCTAATCGTGTTCATAGCTATTATATTCTATACTTCGATAAGCGAAAAACTAATTATTGTTTATTAATTTTTAATCCTCTAGAAGTTTTTACTCGCTTCGCAAAATTTAATTCCGACCACTTGTGGAAATCGTGTTGGAAGATTCGTGGATACGATTACCGCTGTCAAAGTACATGTCAGTCTTTTGCATCGGGTATTTATTCAAGTTCTCCTGATTTGGATTATATTATAACTATATGATCATTTCGAGAGTACGAATCGAGTTATTGGCATCGTCGAACGTAACGACAGGTATTCATGGTATAACGTCAGAATCATCAAAACTTTCTAGTTTGGATACTTTCTATAGGAATACATGTTATGTGGACATCTGATGTGAAATCTCTGCCATAACACTACGCCTTTGATTTTGCTGTGAAAAGGATTGAACGTAGTTTGAATGTGAAAAGCAAGAAGCTAAGGTTGCGTAAGTAGAAAAATTATCTATCATAAATTGGTGGCAATGAACAACCAATTAATTATGGACACGATTCACACTGTTTAACTTAAAGGTCATTTGCTGCTTAATTCAGAAGATGAAATGTTTATTAACCGAAATTAGCTAGCCATGAGTTTCTCACTCTCTGATTGATTGACATCTGGAAAATGAGTATGAAATTCCACTATCACTGTCTAGTATATTTGCGCTTTAATCGTTTATCACTGATTCAGTCACTTACCATTTATGCGCGTGATTATTTATAACTTATATTCGGGTTGGTTATACACCACTTAACTAAGCAATTCATTAGTGCATTCGCGGCTCTAAAAAAAACGGGCGGGAAAATATGGGAAGATATTTAAATAGATAAGTCGTATAATGGAGATTGCAATCTATGAAAAGGTAGAAGATTAAACAATCTGTCAGCTATTATCAAGAGAAGTGATGGAGGAGAGGATAAGGTAGTGCTGAGTGGAAGATTCATCTTCTGGTAGAAGTTTTACAGTTAATGCTTAAGAGGAGAAAAGAGATAGAAAGGGTTGAATGAAATGCGAATGAAAAGAATAAACGGTTACAGGAAAACAGGAATTGAATAATGGGTTGACATGTAATTAAATATGGTTTGTCTCAGTTATCTTTGCGATCTTCTAAAATATTGATTTTTAATTTTATGTATTATCATTTTCATTAAATTTTGATAGAAAAAATTTCCATCGTTTATTTTGGATGAAAGGAATGCGTGCCATTTACAAACCACACAAAACAACACATAAACAAAATAATTATAATGCCCTGTTAAAGTAATGCAAAAATTATATGGTACTTCTACTTCCTTGTTTTGCATTTAAATAAGGATGGATATTCCATTAATAAATGGAGTACATTTAGATGATACGAATGATTGATGAAGCAATGAATGCCAAAAGTGAAAAGCGAAACTGTGATGATATTGTCCGGAATGCACAATTGAATGTCGCAGAAGAACTTCGTAAACAACAACTTGAAATTGAACGAGTCGATACAGCATTATCATTTTTGAAAGAAATAGAATCGAATAATTCAAACGAGGTGAAAACTCGATTTGTATGTTATGAAGTAGGATGGAAATTCAAGTTGTAAATTTGTTTAATGATACAGAAATTTATTACATTGTCATTTTTATTAACAGTGTTAAACCTATCTTGTCAAGTTATTTTGCAACGGTTATGTAATAAAGTATTTGATGCGATAAATTCGGTAGTGATGAAAATTATGAGAGCAGTAATGATAAAAAATGTTGTAATGTTAATTACTTTATGGATTTTAGGATTTTTAGCTAAGTCACGGGAATTGTTTAGATTTGAAATTTTTAGACTGAATGGTAAAGGATTTGGCATTGAAAATTTACTGCTTATGCTGATATTGACGATTTGTTTTTTAAGGTTCCTATGAAACCTTATCTCAAGAAATTTTGTGGACCATACAGTAGAGGGGTGATGATAATGTCGTTAACCGATTATGTATGAAAGTATGATAACCTAGTTTGTATATTATACATATTTCTGATAACAATAATTAGTACTAAGGGAAATACATGAATATTTCTTATTCGTACGATATTGATTAAAGTGCAATAAGGAATTTCTTTTTTTTGATTTAGGATCTGTTATTGGATGAACCATACGAATTTCGAGGTTTTAGAGCAGTTCGTGAAGAGTTAAATCAATATACAGCTTTGGTACAGCATGTTATGAATTTGACAAGCCGATGTCTTTCGAATTGTTCGAAAGACAAATATGTCACTGATAATTTGATTGAAAAAGCTCGCGATGATTGCAATATTCGTGTTGGACTCGATTATCACAATACAACTATTTCTGTTGCACCAAGTTGGTTCATTTTTTGGCCAAAATTCTTGGTTTTCAAGATTGTAGTTTCCATATAAAGTAAGAATGGTAAATATATCATAATTCTTCTGCATAGCGTAGAGTTGCGATTACAGCCAGCTATTTAGCAGAGTAATGGCATATTCGATAGTAGTATAACTGACTATTGAAAAAGAACACCAAATTCATTTTGTGTGGTATCGGTTGAATCTGTTAGATACATGTATGTTGTGCATTGATTTTGATTCATGTACTGAGAATTTGTTCATATTAATTATTTATACCCATATCAATATTGCAGTACTTTAACACATATAAATATAAATGTCCTCACAGAATTATATTGGCGAATTAAATATATGCCAGCTTTTATTTGAAATTAGAGTTAACCTGAACTCTAGAACCCATTCAGTTTAAAATAAACTTTAGACTTTTATTTTTCTGGATAGTTTTAATTTCGAGTCTTTAAAAAGGAAAACAGATTTTAGGTCAAAATTCAACTGATTCGCGAACGAGTCGTCTAACTATTACACCAACGACTACAGTGCATATTTTGCCAGAATTAGCAGATGCTTTACCAAAGTGCGGTAATGATAACTCTTTACATATTAGATCGAATGAAATACTTGTTGATGCTCGACAAAGTGTTCAGAATCAACGAGTGCATTCTGTTAGTGAACCTGGTTCATTGTTGCAACTGGTTCAGCCGACAGTTACTGCGAATCAGAAACCACATCCATTTTTATCGCAGGTATTTTTGTTGAAAAAAGTCAATTTTCACTTGATTGTAGTAGAATGTCGTAAGAGATGCTTGTTGTTGGAATTGATCAATAAATGAATCCTACTTCCTTAATTTGCTAGGCTGGATCTCATTCGCATTCGTTGCATGCAGCTATGCAGAATGTTCTTGGGTCATTGAAGCGTACTCTTCCTGGATTTCATCCAATAGCTTCAACAATTTTAAACAGTGATACGGTTGATTTCATCTCTGCATTTTCTGGTGCACTTCGACTCTATGATGATCGTGTGCGCTCACAAATAAAACTGCTCCTTGAGTAAGAGATATGTTTTCAGAATTTAAACTGCGATTACTTTTTCGCCTTAAAGTTTTGATTATACAACGTTAGTCGTACTACTTTCATTTGCAACCTATCTATAATGGCTATACACACATTTTTTTTAATTTAATAAATAGTATGTTAGGTTTATATCTAATTTCGCCCACATTATCTATCACCAACTGCCTTTTATCAAGTATTTGTTGGAGATCTTAGTTGTTTTTGACTTTAGTTTAACATCTTATGGTAATATGAGTGAAATTTATTTAGAAATAATTTTTCACAGGAAGTACGATTCGTCAGTTAGCAGCATAAAACGTAGCGAACTTGTTTGTGAAATCGATCATTTGCACAAAATAAGCCGTTCTGCAAGTATTAAACGAGAGAAGGTATGTAAATTATCACATGGGCTACTAAAGCTTTAATATATTACTTGATGTGGCACTGAACTCATTCATAATTGTTTAGGCTATACTAGGATCAATTAATCATAATTTGTTGAAGTAATTTTTCCAAAAATAAATTCAATAATTTATTAAAGTTTCATTGATGATTAGCACCAGAACTTATGCTGCATTTACTTGTCGCTGTCAGAGACGGCTGCACAGTATGTATCCAAAAGGATCTCATGATGTTATCTGTTTTAATCCATCTACTAGTTATGTTATCAAGGAAATATTAAACATATCTTTTTTAGTACATTACAAAAATTTTTTTTTACCCGTAGCATTGGGTGGGTTTATTTACGTTACACTGATGAATAGTAAAGTTGAATTAATAATTGAAGTCATGATTCTCATTATGTAGTGTCAAGCAATGGGAAATAAAGAAAGGCCGCTGAGGAGATTCAAGCAATTGGCTTGTAGGAAGAGTTGATAGAATAATTTTCCAATTTCTAAATGTTCAAATTAAAATTTTGTTTCTTTAACTGTAGCTAATATATAGCTAAATTAGGATTGATGTATATTTTGCGACGTTTCTAAGGTATTGTTATTTACAAATATTCCTTTTTTATTTCATTTGCAGTTGTTGGACATCATCCGTGGCCCATATTACCAAGCAGTGAATTGTCCACCATTACGTCAAATGAAAATTCTGCATTCAACGTTTTCATCAAATTTATCGTAAAAGCCAAGACAATGAATTACGTATAGTTCGAAGATTCTAGTCTAATTGTATTTCAATGGACATTGAAGGAACTTTCTGCTCTCTGGTTCTGTAATTATTACTGTATTTAAGTTCAACTCTAAATTAATTCCGATCAAATGAAATCAGTCCGCAACGTTTTCATCAAATTTAACATGAAAATCGAATGTTAAATATCGAGATTCATCTTACATTGTGTAATTTGTTACAAATAAATATTAAATGTTTCTGGAATTCGCTTAAGTAGAATAGATGATACGTCCACTGACCAGTGCAGAGTATCATTATTGAAATTTAGTGTTGTTAAGCATTCCATCATCCAAGCTTTGGTCGGATCTCATTATACTTCTGAACATTTGCTTTTTATAACAAAATTTATGTCCAGTAGAAATAATTTTGATAACCATCGAATGATTGTGTAATACATGTGAATATAAATAAAAAAATGTAGCAGTCTTGATGTTTCTAACTGTAATTTGGATTGGAAGTAAAGATTGACCTCAATTATGTGGAAGCATACATTTTCCCATGGTTTTATTAGATCTTTAATTAATAATTCTTCATAGAAGATATCGAAATCCTACAGTTATCCTACAGTTTGCGGTTCAATCTTTTCAAAGATAAAAAATTGGTTATTTCGAGATAAGACAACACATGCATGATTTGAGAGAGAAAAAGCATTTCACAGCTATTCATCAATTTCTCTCCGCACTCCGAACTCTTCTAATGCTCAAATATCCGCCTACCACTTCAAACTCGAGAAGTTTACAATGAATTAACTGGTTTGCTGCAAAAATCTGAAATGGTAAAGGCTGTTGTGTTTACCCACCTGTTAGCACTTCTATTTAATTCTCAATTAACTTTTAAAAGTTATTTTTGTTAAATAGTAAATAATTTGTTTCACATTATGTTTCGCATTAAATTTAAGCTTCACTTTAATTCTGATTGATAATATTAAACTAACTTTTGAATATTCTTTGTAAAATTATGTTCAACGATTCTGCGCTTAATGTTTATCAGTCAACATTTAATTATCATTTATCATTAACATTTATTTACATATATTATTTAATATTTATCATTTATCAGTGATATTTATCACTTATGTAAAATATCAATATTTTATATCAGCAATTCGGGAACAATATTTTATTTTTGAAAATTTTTAATGAATATTTAATATATATTAGAAAGTTAATTCCCTAATTATTTCACTACTGGAATGTTGAATTGTTAGACATTTAATATAATATGAATATTTTTGAGATATCGGATATCAGAAAGATATCATGAGTTCTTGAATAAAACAAAACTATCTAATTTAAATGATGAATTTAAATGATAATTTTATACTATGATATCTGTCAAGTTCATATTATCAAAATTATCATAATAAATTTCATCGTAATAAATTTTCAAATTATCGTATTAAAATTAGAAATTGTAAAAACGACGACGATGTTGAAAATTGAAACATAGCAAACATTAAAATTGTCAATGGTTAATGAAACCCTTCAATAAATGAAATGATGAAATGACGATGAAATAATGATTCAATTAAACTCATTCAAATATAAATATTAAGAAAAAAAGTTTTCTTAAATTAAACTTTTATCAATCAATAATTGTTTCTTCGTTGAATACCCATTTGTGATGAGATCTCCTGCAATATTGGTTAAATTTATAAGAGTGAAAAAAAGAAGATCTAGATGATCTAGCAAATTACAATATATTATCAAATTTTAAATGATCATAAATTAAATTCAAAAATTTTTTTAGGCTTTAAACTTTAAATTAAACTTTTAGGCAAAACTAAACCAGAAATAATCGTTTGACAAATTTTCTTCAAATAGCAAAATATCGCATTTGTACGACGAATGCGCATTTTGCAGTAAGCGATGAAATTATTCATTTCAATTTCAATTCTTTTCATAGTTAAGAATTCATTCTAATAATTCGAAAGTTTTAAATATTTAATAAAAGTGACGATGAAATAATTATTGATATTAATGATAAAGTACTTAGTAATGAATTATAAAATTTCTTATCAGAGCTGTTTGAAAAATTCATAATGCCTAAAAATATTTCGTAGTATTTCTATTATTGTTGTAATTATTATTATTGCTATTGTTGTTTTTACAAATGTTATCATCATTATTATTACCATTATTATTCTTATTAATATTATCATTGTAATAATTTGTTATCATTCTTGTCACTGCTATTATTATTGCTTTTGTAATAAATAATAATGATAATAATAACAGTAATGGTATTAACAGTAATAATAACAGTAATAATAGTCATAAAACAATAGTTTTATCATTATCATTATATTCATTATTATCGATTATGATAATAATTAATAATATAGGCTACTTCAAATAATTTTTCAATACAATGTTAATTCCATTCATCTCCTCTTACCTTTAACTCATATCTAAGCATTTATTACAGTTGTAGAATGAGCGATAATGATAGTGATAAAACTATCCTATAATTATTTGTTGTATGATTAAGCCCACCTAACATCATATAACCATTAACTTCTTTTTTCATACATCGACAAAATTATTTTCTTCGACAGATGTTTTATTTGCTTTTTCTTCACTACTCATTCTTTCCTTTTTTTCCATTAATGAATTGCTAAAAATATATTACAACATTGCCGGATTATCACATTCATCATTCCTATTGTTTCCTATAGCAATATCGATTGATTATTCCAGAAAAATGGATTTGAAAAAAAAAGAATTTACGAAATTTAAAAGAGCATAGATTAGCATCATTGGATATAATGCTGAAATTTTTTTTCCGACTTGCTCAAATTTCCTTTATCAATGATGATATCAGATAATATAGAACATTTGATATAAGAATATCATGTTAATCCGATCCGAAATTTTTAATTGAAATGCTAAGGAAAACCATTAAACTGTTTCTGCTAATGATTATACAATTATGATCGAAATATTGTCATGTTAATCCTATCCTAAAATTTTAATTGAAATGATAAGGTAAACCATTGTAAACCGTTTGTGCTAAATAATGCTTATATAATTATAACCGGAATATGTTGATGCGAAATTTCTATCGCGATAAGCGGATAAGTGATATTTTTTTATTTGTGGGATCAATGAATGAGCTCATAATTATCAAATTCATATTTCAGTTTATATTTTACACCACTTAAATTTTTTTCAACAATAATGTATGAAATGATAAATTGAAACTGTTTATGATCTAATTTTATGATCTAATCGAAGCATAAAAATTGTTCTAAAATTGAATTTAAACTAATTTTACAGGTAAAAATATCCCTAAGGTATCCGTAGGATATCTTGTTAGTAGTATGAATTTTAAGAATGGATGAATTTATTTATAATATTTGCTATCGTCAAATTGCAATGCTTAATTTATAATATACAATCAACAAAAGAATTTACGAAATGATTGAAATGAATTTTATTCATTCCGCTAAATCAAACTCACTTCACAGTTGCAAATTTTATTCGAATACAATTTCACTGAATTAAATAAGTGAGAATTTGATTGATAACAAATGTATATATCATTGATGATGGATAATTTATCCAACAGTTAAAATCAAAAATTTAATTATCAAAATGTAATTTTGAATAGATTCAAATATATCATTAGTTCGTTCTAATTCGATACGAACATTTGCAGATCGGATCAATCTATTTATATTTAATTTCAATCAATCAATTCATTTAAATTCATTTATATTTCAATCATTTAAATTATAATTTTTAGTAAAATGAAATTTTTTAAAATATTAAACATTTTCTTTCTTATTTTTCTATTCTTCTCTTTTTGTTTAAAAAATCTAAAATTTAAGAAAATAATTTTAGTTTTATTTTTTTTGGAACTTTTACATATAGCATTGAAATGAATTGAATTTATCATTTTGAAAAATTATTTTAAATCTTTTTTTGCTATTTCAATATTTTTCATCAATTGATTGAATTGGATCTCAGTTAGTTGAATTGAATCGCAATTGATAGAATTGAATCGCAATTGATTGAATTGAATCACAATTGATTGAATTGGATCGCAATTGATAGAATTGAATCACAATTGATTGAATTGGATCGCAATTGATTGAATTGACTCGCAATTGTTTGAATTGAATCGCAATTGTTTGAATTGAATCGCAATTGATAGAATTGAATCACAATTGATTGAATTGAATCGCAATTGATTGAATTGAATCACAATTGATAGAATTGAATCACAATTGATTGAATTGAATCGCAATTGATTGAATTGAATCGCAATTGATTGAATTGGATCGCAATTGATTGAATTGAATCGCAATTGTTTGAATTGAATCGCAATTGATAGAATTGAATCACAATTGATTGAATTGGATCGCAATTGTTAAGCAATCGTTTTACTTTTCACATTTATATCTATTTTCCTTTTTTTATAAATTAAATATATTCTATTTTGGTTTTTTATTCGAATTCATAGCTTATCAGTAAATGATAAAATGATTATATGTAAATATATGTATATGTAATAAATGTAAAAATTTGTTGAATGATATAACATTAATGTTGTAATATTTATTTGCATTGTCATTTTGTTTAAAGAAAATAATTCTTTTTATTTTATTTCAAAATTTATTTCAATCGTTCAATTATTATCAATAAATGATAAAATGATTATATGCAAATATGTGAATGCATAATAAATGCAAAAATATGTTAAATGATAATAAAACATCAATGTTGTGATATTTGAAATTAAATACTTACTAACTAAAATACTGTAAAACTTATATTTCACATAAATTAACAATTTTCCCTTTAAACAAAAATAATTATTTTAATTTATTTTAATTATTTAATTATTACCAATTAACTTTGCTAATAATATTTTTTACATTAATATATTATAAAATATAAAATAAAAACAAATTGTTGTTCCATTATTTGTTTTGTTTTCTTTTCTTTCACTATGCACTTTAAAAATGAAATTTCATTTTATTGTTTCAGATGTTATATATATATATATATATATCTATAAGAGAACGAAAGCTTTTTCTTTTAAAGTTACAACAATTTTTCGCTAATTAATTAATCATTCTTACCTTCTCTTTAATGATTTAAAAATTTTTTTTTAATTTACAATTAGTTATTTTCTTCAAAAAATCTCTTCATTCTCTTTTTTTTTTAGCCGCTTATTGCCAGCTTACATATTCACTTCTCTCCCTCTCTCTCTTTCTTTCTCTTTCTCTTTCTCTATTAAATTTATAATTTTATTTATTTTCTTTTTTTTCTTTAATTCTTTTTGTTTACATAGCTTTATTTTAATTATATCTGCTTATTCTATTACTTCCAGAAAATTCTATTTATTTATTTTTGTTTTTATTTATTTCTTACATTTCGTTCATTTTTTCTATTCAAAGTGATTCATACAACATTTCAATAATAATTAATCGGTCTTTTTCTTCTTCTTTCAAATTTTGCTTTTTTGTTTGTTTGTTTATTTATTTATTTCTTATTCCCTCCTATCTCTCTCTCTCTCTCTCTCTTCTTTTCATATTATCGTTTGCTAATCGTATCGATAAAACTGCTTTATTTCATATTTGTATATCATTTTTAGTTTATTTGATAGGTTATATAAGCTATTATATTGAACTTATTACTTAGCTGTTGCCAGTTCTTCATGTATCATAACTTCGTACAAATATATATATATATATATATATAGTTATGTATAGAAATTAAAATCAATTCATATATGTTATAACTATGTAAAAGATATAAGAAATAATATAATACTATGCAAAATTATTCGAAATGATAATTTCATATTTGTATATAATTTTTAGCTTATTTGATTGGTTATATATGAGCTTATTACATAGCTGTTGCCAGTACTTAAGCTATTATATCGAGCTCATACTTTACTATTGCCAGTATTTCATGTGCCATAACTTCGTACAAATATACATATGTATACAGGTTTTATGTATAGAAATCAAGATTAATTTATATATGCTAATTTATACATGCTATTTAAAAGATATAAGAAATAATATTGTATTATGCAAATTATTCGAAATGATAATTTCATATTTGTATATAATTTTCAGCCTATTCAATTGGTTATGTAAGCTATTGTTACATTGAGCTTATTACTTAGTTGTTGCCAGTACTCCATGTATCATAACTTCGTTTATATATATATATATATAGTTATGTATAAAAATTAAAACTAATTTATATATGCTATAACTATTTAAAAGATATTAGAAATAATATAATATCGTGCAAATTATTCGAAAAGATCTAATTCCTAAATAAAAAATACTATAATCGTTTTCTTCATTTTTCACAATTATTTTTTTCGTAGAAATAAATAACTAAAATACTGGAAATTATATTAATATAATATATATTATTAGTATCGTTGAATTTTTCGTGAAATTTAAGTCTGTAAATGATTATAAAAACAAAAGGAATATAATGTTTGCATTTCATCAAAAAGTACAATATTATATCTAAAATATCTATCCATCCGTTTGTCTAACGATTTGTTTGTTTATTAATTTTTGATATTGATTTGCTAAAATATAAAGATAGTAATAACGAATTTTTAGTAAAAATATTTTATCAAATAATCAAATATTTCAACATTTATATTTCACTTAATATTTTTCTTATCAAATCAGGTATGATAATAGTATGATAATTAATTAGATTAAACTAGCACCAAATAGAATAATTTTTATTATCAAATTGTTACAACCAATCATTAGATCGAACTTTTCCCATGAATCAATTTATCAATAAAGTTTTAAAATCTTTCCTTCCATTATCTCACTTTCTGTTTTCCTAGCATTATCCTTATCATTCCTTTTATATTATCATCTTCTACGATCAACTTACTACTCTTAGCAATAAATTATCAATGCTATCCGATGATTCTGATCTGTCAGAAGAGGTGAACTAGCATTGACAGAATAATTTTTCATATTGAAACTGATACTTTCATTAAATCGAACTTTTCCGCAAATCAATTTATCAATAAACTTTTCAAATCTTTTTTTTCTTTCCTTCGTTCATCTTACTTTCTATTCATCTGACATTAATTCTTATCATTCCGTTCATATTATCATCTTCCTCAAAATTCACTTATCACTCTTAGCAACAAAAAGTATCAATGCTATATTCGGTGATTTAACCTGATCGAATAAATTATCTAATGATTGCTTTAAATGGAAAGATCGGTCCCACCCATTAGTGGGTATGTATGAATCAACAAAAAGCTACACCTATCGACTCCACCCCGCTCTATCATTGCTCTCGACATAAGCGCAATTGGTAAAATTAGAAGATGTAACTTGAAGCTAACCAGTCAATCCTCAATGCAACTCTCCAGTTTCAATTAACTATATTTATAATGATAGATTATTGATCAGTCGAATATTTCATTCATTTAGTAAGCTGCATTAATTAAGTATAATTTAATTTAAACAAAATTATTATCATCCTGTAATCACTTCATTTTTGTATTATGATGTATGCTAAATATTTTATTTTCATTACTATCATTGCTTATCAGTAATATTACCAAAGAATGATATTTGGATATATATATATATATATATATATATATATAGATGTATGTACATATCAGATTATATATACTATCAATTAATGAATCATTAAGTGTAATTTGATTTTTTACTCTAAACAAACATTCCTATTACTATTATTATTCTTGCTTCTACTATCAACTTCCAATTAACATTATCATAGATGAGGTGTCAACAATGAAATAATCATTATTATTCAACTTATTTCTATCGCTTATAGCAAAGATAGCTATAATTATTATTTAATTATTTGATTATTAATTTACATATATTACTAATTGATTATTCGTTAAATTTATTTGAATAATTTAATTTATCATTCATTTTAAAAATAGCAAAATAATCCAAAATAATAATAAATACATTTTCTAAATTTATTCAAAAATAAAAATTCTAAGTTTTAAAATTTTACTAAAACAATAAAATTATTTATGAACAAAAATTTCACACCTACCGTATCATTTATCATTTTTACTGCTCTCTTAACAATTTAATCATTAAGTGATAATGAAAATTATCGTTAGTTGAATTTTAAATTTTGAACTACACTTCTCTCTTCCGGTAAACAGTTGCTGTCCGAAATGGACCAATTTCTCAAAGTTCAAAATAATTCTTTCAATCCTTTGATCTCTATTAAATTGAATTGGCTATCTTTTTCTCTTTTCATCTTTACCTTTCACCTTTTCTCCCTTTTTTACTTTTTCCATTTTTAAAACATTTAGCAATTAACAGGTGAAAAATTTATTTTAATTAGCGTAATTTTGTTAGGGGGATATAAAAGTGCTGAATGTTTATTGCGGTAATATATCGATGAATTCAAGTTTCTATTGAAGTAAACGAAATTTTCAACAAATTTCAACAATTTCGTGTTCTCTTTTTTTTTCAATTGAAACTATTTCATAATTCGTATTAATATAAATTTAGAAAAAGTGCAAAAATATTTGAAGTTTAAATTTCAATTTCATTTTTCAACCAGGTGTGGTTTCTTTTTTAAAAGTCATTTCCTATTGTAAATCTGTCACTTTTTTATCTTCTCAAATTTTTGTATGAATAAATCGGAGCAGTGATAAGTCCATTACTAATCAACTCTTTATTCTATTAACAATGAAACGGATATATTCAAATTCTAATTTAACAAATTTTAAATTAAAAAAATTATATCTTTTAATATTTGATACGGGATACCTTTTTTGTGTGCGTGAATTGATGAAGAAAATATATATCAATTTTTATTTACAGGTAAAATTAGAGTAGTCTATCGATTTGAATAATAAGCTGTCAACAAGATGCTGCCACATTTAATGTCGAATTATTAATTATTCTTCTATAAACTTATGATAATGTGCTATTAAATTAATTGATCAATTAATTGATCAAGCAGTGTGTGTATGTATGTGCGTAATTTATCAAAAATTGTTGAAATCTTATTATTTCCTAATACGTCTTCTATATCTGTCATTTATTATTATCAAGTGAAGTGGCACCTTTTTTTATTTTCTGAATTTTAAAACAAAATATTTGTTGAAATTTTTATTTCACTAATATTTTGATTATCGATAAGATAATCAAAATCGATAGATAAAGTCGTGAAATATTGCATGCAGCTGCAAATTGTGATTCAATGCAGTACTATTCACTTTGGACGACAATTTATTTTTTATTAATTATTCTTTTCATCAGTTATTTTCAACGAATTCATTCATTGCGTTGTAAATGCAATGCTAATCGTGGACCATCACGATGTATTGGTGATTATTGTGATATACATAATCGTGATGAAAAACGTGCAGCATGCGGTGCATTACGACGTGCAAAGCAAACTATTTTTGCATGCGTATTAATTCGTCGAACATCAAATGATACATATTGTCATGTAATTGGTAGTACAACAGCATGTTGGTGTCGAGAAATGGATTTTTGTAATGCTGATTTAGAAGCCGAATTATTTGATATTGATGAATCAAATGATAATTCTGATGAATTATCATCATCTTCATCATCATCATCATCGTCATCATCATTATCAGCATCATCATCCAATTTTATTGCTAATTCACAAAACGAAAAATTCATCATTGAACCTAACAAATTGAAATCAACTAAATTACAATCAGTAACAACAATAGATCCGATACAATCATTTAACACTGCTGCTAAAACTATCATCCAATCGAACAACAAACAATCAATGAAGACGAAAATTAATTCAGCAATTGAAATTGATATCGTTGAAAAGATAAAACTTACACCGCAAAAAGAAAATCCACCAACGGCAGTTGCAGAAATAATTCCTGACAGCTACGATTATGAATTAGATGAAGAGTGAGTTTTTATCTTTCTTTCCTTTGAGAATTGAACATTTTCCGAAAGTATTCAATTTCATGAATAGTTTTTTATAATTAAAAATAAAATGGAATAATTAAAGAATGTTTTATTCGATAAAAAATTTATTAAAAATTTAAGTGGTATGGTAAAATTTGAAATTTGAATAATAATAAGATGATAATTGTTGTGTATACAGAAAAATTAGTATTTGAATTAATAATTGATTTAAGAGTAAAGCTTTCAGTTTTTCAATTATAATATAATTACTCATACATATATAATATAATTATAATTTATAATATAATTATTCGTATTATAAATTATATTATAATTATTCATATGATGATAGTTTTTTTTCAGTTATCATATAATTATTCATATATACAATTATTTAATTATATACTTATTTTATTTTAGGTATAAATATATTTCATTTATTATTGTTATTCCAAAGTATTGTTGAAATTTTGTTCCGAGCAAAAATATTAATTCTTAATTATATTTTAATAATTATTTATTTACCACGATAATATTTATTGGTTGTTTACCACGATGATATTTATTCAAATTTTGCAAAAACAATTAAATAGGAAAAAATTCAATTTTTGATTTTACAATAAAATTAATTCTCAATTCTAAGCTGTAAAATTTAATTCTTCGGTTCTTCGACCAATGCGAAATTTAATTCTATTTCATGTATTCATAATATAAAATATCTAATTAATTGTTTACTAATATTTTCATCGATTAAAATTAAATGCAAAACATAATTATGAAAAGATATAAATACTTGAACATTTAGCCAATCAAATTTAATTTATATTTTAACCGTTTAAAATGATCATATTTAGTTAATTAAATTCTAATTAATCAAATTCAATTTATATTTTAGCCGTTTAAAATGATCATATTTAGTTAATTAAATTCTAATTAATCAAATTTAATTTATATTTTAGCTGCTAAAATTTTAATGGGAAAAAAACGAGCCATAATTTCTGTAATTTATGATTTATTGATGAAAGCATTTTAGATAAATAAGTTTAATCAAAAACAATATTTATTGTTTTTCTGAAAATTAAATTAATTAATACAAGCAGACATTGACGGATGTGGACGGTGGTCAATAAGACGTCGTCTTTTATCCATTTGATGACACATACACATAATACAAATATATGTAAATGTACATAAAAATGCTGCCTTATTGTTTAAATAATTGAATTTGATTAATTAGAATTTAACTAATTAAATGTAATCAATTAATTGTAAAAAAAATATACCATCTGGATATTTCTCAAGTTATATTGAAAAAAAACATTGATTTATATATCTAATATACAAATATATATGTAAACTGCACATATGAAAACTAGTCCTATTGTTTAAATAAATTAATTGATCTTAGTATATTTTCATTGAGTTGATGTTATTATCTGATAATACAGTAATGATATCCAACCGGATGGAAGATGAAAATTAGTAAACGGACAGAAGTCTTACTCATCACTGACCACTGTCCACATCCGTTCCATTCATTCCTTAAGTACTAAAACATACATTGCAATTATAATAATACCGTGTCAACATTGCTACTTATAACAGCTATATATCAATTAATATCAATACTCATTGAATCAATCAATCAATCAATTGGTCAAGGAATCATTAGCCAATTATAATTCAATCTACGAATAAGCTCAATCAGTTAATCAATCCGTTAATTAATTAATATATTCATCCATACAATTCAATTTATTAAAATATTTATTTACCTGTTCAAAATTATTTGTTCTTTCTCTGACTAATATACTATACTATCATCTCTCTTCAATCTTTTCACAATCAATCTATTCGAACAATCTCAATGTTTACATTTCTCATTGCTTTCTTGAAATAGTGACTAAACCCTCACTCCCTTCATCATCATTTTTCAACTATCATAAATATCAATTTTTCCTTTCACTCTTTTTTGCTTATTCAATGAAATAGCTTAAGGAAGACATAAAATAGAACGATAAAAGTATGAAATGAAGAGTGACAAAGAAAACATATTAAAAACAGGAAATCGAATTGAAAATGAATTTCATTTAAAATTAGAATTAATTTCAATTCCATTTAAAATTTGAATTAATTCCAATTTCATTTAAAATTTGAGTTAATATGAATTTCGTTAAAAATATGATACTTTATTATATTCTTCGATACATTTGTTATGTTCTTCGATACATTTGTTATATTCTTCGATACTTTATTATATTCTTCGATACATTTATTATATTCTTCGATACAGTTGTTATATTCTTCGATACTTTATTATATTCTTCGATACATTTGTTATGTTCTTCGATACTTTATTATATTCTTCGATACATTTATTATATTCGATACTTTTATTATATTCTTCGATACTTTCATTATATTCTTCGATACATTTAATATATTCGATACTTTTATTATATTCTTCGATACATTTAATATATTCGATACTTTTATTATATTCTTCGATACTTTCATTATATTCTTCGATACATTTAATATATTCGATACGTTTATTATATTCGTCGATACATTTGTTATATTCTTCGACACTTTATTATATTCTTCGACACTTTCATTATATTCTTCGATACATTTAATATATTCGATACTTTTATTATATTCTTCGATACTTTCATTATATTCGATACTTTTATTATATTCTTCGATACTATCTGCTCAAATTACTTGTCGAATTTCCAAATGAAAATGTTATTTAACGTGAAAACAATATCTCTCACAGTATTCAGTAATGCAAAATACTTGCAGCCGCTATTCATCAGCTCAAAAACTCGTCTTTACAGTAACATTCATTGGGTGCAAATAATTCTTACAATATTTATTGGAAAGCAAAAACTATTCTCTCTTCTATTAATTACGACACATTAATTTATTGCCTATTGTCACAATGCATCAGAATAAATTTACTCCATAATACAGTAAACTGTCAATTTATTTGAATTCTTTCCTAATCATTTATTCAATTCTAACATTTTAGTTACGGTAGAATAAAATTTAATAACAAATAAAATTAATATAATTTAATTACATAAACAAAAGAATTTAAATTTAATTTAAAAACAACTATAACATTTACATTGAAATCTTTTTGACAGTTTTTGGTGTTGTTGAAATTATTTCAAAAAAAAGTTTTATTTAAAATGCCATTTCATCTTCCCTTCTTTTTCGATGAAAAAATTTATGAATCATTTCTTGACAGAAATTTGAATAAATAAAATGAATGGAACTTTTGAACTTTTACAAATTGAACTTTTTACAACCTTACCACGCATTCCACAAATATTCATATTTCATATCTGTCATTTGAAATGTTCCTTCAATTATGGAAAGGAAAAAGATGTATGTATTACTTTGTGAGAAATTGTTCAAAAGAATTTGAAAAAAATTAAATTCTTTTTCAAAAATTAAAACAATAGAATTCCCTCTTCTATTAATTATTATCACATTAATTATTTTTTTTTTAAAACTAAAGTTTGGCAATTTATGCAAATTTTAATTTTTGAAGGAAATTGCATTTTTTGGACAAAATTGGAACTTTGCGAAACAATCAATAAATTATTAAAAATTAGAATTTAGTTAATTATTTATTTGTTAATTAAATCAATAACTGTTTATTTTTTAGTTATTTATTTTAATTAATTATTTATTTTTAATAATTGATTAAAATTAATTGAACAAAAAATCAATAAATTATTATTGCACCTTAATTATTTATTTTTTTAATTATTTAATTATCGATTAAAATTAATTAAGAAGCTAAAAATTTTTTAATACGCAAAAAAACTGTCGAGAAATAAAATATTTTCTACCAAACAAAAACTTCTTCCCAATTATTATACCTTTTATTAAATATTAAAGCTGTCGAAAGTAAACGTACAAAGGCTTATGAATAGTCAATATGAATAATAATTATGGGAATAGTATTGTGGAATGGATAAATATATTTACATAAGGATAAGGTAGGAGAATTGATGAAAGGAAATTAGAAAAGTTAAGAGCTTTACAACCTTTAATACTATTATTATTATTATAACATATTTCTAATTTATATTATCGTTTTTATACCTTTTAATAATATATAAAAGGGAAAGTTTTTAAATACGAATATTATTATTTATTATTATTATTATTATTATTATTATTATTGTTATTATTATTATTATTATTATTATTATTATTATTATTATTATTACTATTATTACTACTATTACTATTATTATTGCTATTATTATATTTAATATTACTGCTTCTATTATTATTATTTTTTTATTCATTAATCATTATTATTGTTATAAATAATTCTTATAATTGCTATTAATTATCATTAACATATTTAGCATCACATTTATAACGAATGAATTCATTTAGCTATTATTACTTATCATTATTATTGTTATCAATAATTGTTGTTAATTACTATTATTATCATTAATATATTTAGTATTACATTTATAACAAATAAATTTACTTTGCTTTTCTTCTTTGCTCGAAAAATTCACTTTTAAAAATTTACCTTTGATTAAAAAAATTTTTGTATTAACGTAAAGAAAAAAGTTATTTAATTCTTTAACATTTTTAAGTTAAAAAAATTTTGAAATAAAATTTATTTAAATTTGAAAAAAATCGTTGAAAAATTTAAGCAATAAAAAATCGTTCATTCGTTAGGTTATATTAAAATATAAAATTAAACGATATTTTATTGCTTTGATTGATATTTGAATTTATTTTATTTCACATAAAAATTTAGCAATAATAATAATAATAATAATTATAATAATAATAATAATTATTATTATTACTATTAATATATTTAATGTATGTTACAATCACTATTCCATCCTTTTTTTCAATGATAATTTCAATTTTTAATTTTTAATTTTTCATTTCATGTTAATTTTAATTTTTAACTATTATTATAAGTTTATTATAATTTATTATAATTTC